TAATCGTAACGGTGGCCAATTTACCAATTCAACTTTGTTGATATATTCAAATTATTTCGTTACCCCCACCGACGCAGCCCCAAACAGTTTCTTTAGAAACTATCAGCCTTTATTCAACATCATTTAAAGTGAGAGCTTGCTATCCCGAAGCGATGGAAGCCACTGAGCCGTGAAGTCAATGACGTCAGGAGACAGTCATAACAATATAAGTCGTTTAATCGCTGCACTACAAACAAAAATTGCTTTCACAAGTCAAATTTACCCGCAGCGTCACGCAGCGATCTTGTTTACGATTCCGAAGACGTAGAAATCAGGAGCTACATCAGACTTCCACGAAATTTCATTCTAGAATCTAGCAATAGGTAAGTATATCTTTATCAGCTCTTTAGCCCTGAGGTGCGTAGTGCGTTAGTACATTTACATGTGGACCCTAAAATTTCCTTTTTTTGGGAACTAATACTGATTTTAATCATCACAAATACAATACCTGGGCGATGAAGACCGGCATCAGGGTAATTCAATGCTGGCTGTACACAAGTTGCTCCAAACCCTGTAGCTTGTCTTATCCCTGACCAAGGTTCGATAGGCTTTGGAGCTGCAAACCTTAACTCGCCAACTGGAGGCTCTGCATAAGGGATACCAAGATACTCATACACCAATTTACCGTGTGGAAGGGCTTCAATCTTGCCGATAACTGGCCCAGACTTGGTGTGAACGACTGGGGAATTCTGAATCTCTCCGGGTTCAACAAGAATTGGATTTGAAGCAAAAAGAATTAATAATTTCACAGCGACCTTGGGGGAAAATCAAGCTAACCCCCAATTCATATTGCAATGCATAAGTAACCTCGTTACCAACGTTGTAACCTAGAGTTGAAGTTATGATGTCGGGCTAGTGGCTGTCAAGTGTTTTTCGCATGCAATTTGTCACGTCCTGTGCAGCCTCATCCCTGAGACGCAGCTCCTTTGAATTCTGGGGAAGTCACGTACTTGTTTTTGTCACGCAGTAGCCGTCATTATCATCTTTCCGTTTTACTTTTGGTCAATGATTTCCGAGACGATATTAAATTTGGGTGACAACTCAGATGGAATGAGAGAGCGACGAGTTTAGGAAATGTCAGGGAGCCCAAGCTCCCTTCTTTTTAGCTCTTTCACACCTGCTGGCAATTCAGCTTCTATTATTTTATTTCGTTCCACTAATGCACACAGTACATTCACGGCCTCTACTTGTCAATATATAGTAAAGCGTTTGGGTTTGTTATCGAAATCCCGTGCAAAACACGCCTGACCAAGTTCTCAAACAAAATACCTTTCATCAAATACAGAATTTTCCTAGCGAGTCGCCAGTGACTGCTTCAATATGATGTTGTGCTCATTTTGTCATGAAATGGAAGGAATCGGTTTTGATTTACTATAGTTTTCCACCTTAGTTTCCCCTCGCGTTATAGACGCAATCGTAATTTTGTTGACCAATTTCTCGTCTTTTCAAGAGGGATGATAATTTTTTAATTTCGTCTGATCTTTTATTCTCTCTCGACTTTGACTGCGTATTTTAATTTTAAATACTTAGAAATCGATACTAACTGATACATAGTTAATCCTTGACACACTTTACAATCGAAACCATCCTATGAAAGTCCTTCGACAACTAATAATCAACTATCGATATCAATCAATTAAATACCATGGCTTTAATATCGACTCATATCTATTTTGCAATTACAAGCCTTTTCAGAAGGAGTTGTCATCTGTCCATTGAAACTCCTGCCTCCAACTGCACGTTACATAAACGTAAACTGCGTGACACGTTTACTCAAGTAAGACGGAAACCGTCGTTCTACAAAGTAAAGTCGAATGAAGTTCGCATGGTGTTCTTTGTAACCTATATACAGTAGTTCTTTGTTCTGTTTAGGGAGGACCACAGTGCTTTATCCTCATGATGAAGAGAAGTATCACTTTGGAACAATGCTGAGCCTTCCTGACACTCTACGCCCCGCATGTGGTAAAGGTTTCGATTAGTTAATTTTGCTAGTGTTTCAGAAGCCTATTCCAAGTCGAGTCCGTTTACTCATTTCTCTTTTTGGTGGAGCGAACCTCTGCAAGTCACCGTAATAATCCTTATTGATCAATAAACTGGAAATTAAACGTTGGAATCTTGGATCTCTAGAAGGGTCTTTTGAACGACGTTGCTTGAGGTAATCAGCATTCAAGGTCAATGAATTTATATCAGGTAATAACTGTCTCTCCTCGTCTATTATGCTCGATCGCTTACTCCATCTCCGTACCTCCTTTCTCGGCTTTTCTCTACTTCCAATAGGAGGTAATTTCGTTATAACACGTCTTCCTTTGGATTGGGAGTTCTCTTTCCTTTCAGTCTTCCTTTTCACCAGTAGCGACGAATTACCTGAATCATCCTTTCGTTTAGCATTCCTCTGGATTTCAATAATTTTTTTGTCTCTTTCCTTTCGAGCTTTAGATTCACTACTGTACAACTGTATGATGTCCTTTCCTGTTTGTTGTTCGTCTTTCCATTCCGTCTGTATTACTTTAAAAGAGGATTTACTTCGCGGCCTTTGCATGTTCGACTCAGTGTTTTGTGATACCCATTCACCATCGTTGTCAAGGGTTAGGTGAAATGGATCGATTGGATTAACGGAAGTTCGGGATTATTTTGATTTGAAAATCGTCTTACCTCAGTTAACCAATAAGGAGGCCTTCCTCAAATGTTTTCCTTCAGTTTGTTACTAAAATTACTCCCGAACTTAGAGGCTGCTCTTATGTTAACGTGCAGAATGATCAGTATTTGTGTGCAGGTAATCAGATATTCGAACGCGGTTGTTACGGAGCCCTAGGCGATGGTAAATTAAGCAGACACAAAACAATGTTGACATTCCACTGATAGACTTTTCAACCGGCGTTTAATTGTGCGACCGGGTGGTAACTATATAAAGAATCTTTTCAATTCTTTTTAGTCTTGTTTGTGTTATGTTCCCGTGAAATCATCTGCCGGATCACGCTGACAGAAGATGAAAATACATATTGAACGTTATGCAGTACGTGATTAACTTGGGTTGCGTGCGAGCTAAATATATTAAGCAAACAAGCTTGCGTCTTTTCATTAAGTAGACATGATTTGCGACTGACACTAAGGAACACTTATGTCAGCTATGCATGACTATCTTTATTAATGAACAAACATGATACTTTCGTTATTCATCATAAAATGTTTATTTAGTTTTCGTTGTTGTGTGGTGCCTATTAAGTTATCTATTTCTATTTTCGTATCACCACACGAGGTAAAATCATTTGGGCGAATATTGTGATCTTTATTGTAATAGGACATTCCGATATTGTTTTTTCTGCCGATGATTTTTGTAAAAAAATAACAATCTACTTTGAGAATATCAGAAATCGCATTTTCTTGAGGGTCCCCTATCCTTTTTACGTGCAGCATAGTTGAGCCATTTTTTTTTACGTGAATCGTGATTCGATTTTTTTTTTATTTGGGAACCGTGAATAAGAACGATGCGATCTTTTTATGTCCACTTGAACAAATTTTTATTTAAACGTGACCCGTCAATGAAGAGGTGAATTTAACGTGATTCGTGAACCACTTTGTTTTGTGTGATGAATTTCCTGTGTTTTGAAAATGTACGTTTTGTTCTCGAACGGCTATGCTTAGGGTTTTGACTGTACATGGATCGATAAAAGTCATAAAACACCCCAAATGGTTCTTGAACGAATAAGATAAGAAATTACGTCTTTTTTCGTCGTGCAAGACAAGTCAAGACAAGAAAAAGTTAGATATTGATTCGTGGATGCTTTTTTTTTTTTTCCATCTTTATGTGAAACGTGATCGTCTCGAATTTCGCGTGAATGGGAAAGAATTTTGGATATAATTCGTGATGCGTGAAAAGGCCAAATATTTTCACGTGACCAAGTTTAACAAAGGGGTATAGGGGAGCCTCTGTTCTAGGGGGTCCGAAAGGATGACCCATATTGGAAATGATATTTCCGAGGTCCAAAAACTCGTTTTTAGGAATTAGGCCAAGTGAAAAAATCAACGTTACATAAGAGACCACTGTTACAGATTTGCGCAAGGATGAACTGGTAATCTTTTAATTGATTTCAAGGCATGATATCGAAGCGTTCTCACTTACTCTCTTAAGACAAAGCAGGAGCCCATGGGTAATGGGCTCCTGGACAAAGGCTTTTGTGCAACTCGGAAATGTCTTGTTATGACAAAACAGTTCAAAAAGGAGATAAGTCCCCGAAGTGCAACAGTGTCCAACGCCATATTTTACACGTGATGACAAAGTTTTCATTTTAGAATAAATCGCGCCTCAAGCGAGGGAAATGCTTTTAATCCCGCCAGGATATGATTGAATCTGACCGTGAAAAAAGAGCAAGCGGAAATATTTGACACTTTGTATTTACGAATTCTCTCTTATGTTTTTAGTTACTGTGTGAATGGAAAGTGATGTCTTAGCTTATGTCGGCTTTCGATCAACTTGTTGCTGGACTAGAAACCGGATTCGTTTTTTTCTTACGCGCGGTGATTTCGATCAGTTGTGAATTATTTACGGCTCTGCATGTAAACTTATGGTGTCGGAAAAAATCAAACTGATTTCAAGTATCTATTCAACTCTCGTTATTTATATATAATACACAAATTACAGCCTAGAAACTCGTGAATAAAAATCTGAACGTCAATCTTTCTCGTGACAAAGTAATCTAGTTTCATCTGCCGAGGATCGTGTTTTTCTCCTGATAAATACAATTTTTTTTTCATTTCACTCGCCATTTCAGAGAAATGTCTAGTGTTAAATTTTTTTTCCTTTTCAACCAGGTCAGACCTAGCGGCGCCAACCAAACTCCCATTTCAACTGAAGCCCACTACAGTACTCGTTTAATTTCGGTTGATTTGAGTGGCACTGGGATGTAGAGAGAGAACTACTCTCTACCATTAAACGGGTTTCGTAAAATCTTTTTTAACCTTTTCAAGTTACTGTCAGCGTACCCTATGAGAAGGGTTATTAAAGTCTAGAAAGCAAATTTACGACTCAATCAACCTTTTAGATCTAAGTGAAGCCACGTGTGATTACCTATTGAACTAATTGTGTTGTGGGAACAACAGATGCCATTTAACTTCTTGGCACCTAGCTAATTCTCTTTAAGATTTATTTTTGACGAAATTTATCTTCTCTGAAACGACGAACCTTTTTTTGAATTTTCTTATATTAATTGTAATGAATTGTTCTCGGTTCACATATGCAGGCTCGGCGAATCGCTAGCGATGCCTCCGTAAGGTCCTCTGTAGAGCCTTGCACATCTGACCGTTCTTTAAGCTCATCGGTGGTCTGTTTTGAATGACTGTTACCAAACCCTGCCGCAGCTTGAGAGGCTTGTGTTTCACCGTTGTTTTTTTCTTGGTTAACTTTGTTTAAGTTTAACAACTGCTGACTACTCTGTCTCTCTTTTAGATGTCTCGGAAGGAAGATATCCTCGTGATTATCGGTGTCCTATGTTAAGTGAAGTTAACAGCATGTGAATCAGATACTTCAACTTTCTTTTGCTGTTGCTGTTCGAAAGCTAATTTAGCGGAAAGTTCAAGGTGGTGCGATTCAGGCTCGCTTACTTTCCGGGATAAATTTCTTCCTGCGTTGAAAAGTTCTACTTTCTTTCCAGTATTTCCTGAGTTTTCTGTTTGTCAGTTTTCATCGATGGTTGGCTGGGGAACATGCTTTTCGATAGTTGTGCTGCATTTGGAGCATTTCACATGTTTATCGCTGCCGCAATTGGTGTCT